GTAGCTATATAATATGTATTCATATTATATTTTATAATGACCTTGCACTGACATAGTGTTACTGGCTTACGAAGAAAAATATATAACAGATAATTAATAGATATGTAGGTGAAGACAAAATGTTGGATTCTTGTATTGTGGAGTATTTAGAGTAGTCCTGTGCCGTTACTTCCTAAGAAATGTATCTTACTTCTAATGTATCTTATCTTCTCCATATAGAAATAAATAATGATAACATTCAAAGAATGTTTTGAAAAAACAAAGCACCGGTTCGGAGGAATATTAGATAAGTGCAAAAGTTATTATAAAGTTTCTGACGCATCTTGTGATCGTTATTGTTTCCTGAAAGCAGTAGACGATCTTGTTCAAATATTGTATTCTCTCAGTAATGAGAAAATTAGATTTTATGTATTGGCTAGCTCGAACGTACCACTTTACTGTAAAAGAAAATTGAAAATACATGTGATTATAATGTACGAATTCTACAAATCGACAAATACAATGAATATTGTAAGGAACACTTGTAAAATATTTGCAAAGGTTTCTGTATAGGTCGCAACCCTTAAAAGATGGCTTTTAAATGAAAAAAGTCTTAATGTTTTGAGCGCTTAAAAATCCAGGTCTAGGCTTTACGTCAGAACGTATTAAGCCACACTTTTCATTTAAAACAGCAGTTACGTATTGAACATTGTTACTTTCAAAATTAACTGATATTGACTTTTCATATTTTCCCCTTATTATTAGACTGTGAATTTTTTGAATTTATGATAAAAATGAATAGGTGAAACATAAAATAGTGAAAAGTTTCTAAGAAACTATGAATATTGATATACTGATTTCAACTCATTAAAGTTATTAAAGAAAGGAAAAGAATTATACGCGTGCCCTATGTCTTGCAATTGATGCAGACAATTTCTGTTTTGCACAAAGATCTGTAATCTACTTATTATATTAAAAGTAAATAAATGAGATATAATCGTTTTCATTGTCGTAAAGAGCAGAACATTAGTAAACATGTAAAATATCGTGTCTTCAAAAAAGTGACTTTGGCTCTGAGACCTAAGGCAGTACTTATTGAATAAAAAGTAACAGTGGTCTCCAACTAGCACCAGAACAAAAATGTCTGAAAATCAATAGCTGTTGTATAATAGATTAAATAAATAATTTTTACGTAGTGAACACCCATGAAAACATGAGCACTCGACTAACAGAAAAAGTTACATCAAGCCTTCAGATCCAAATATATTAAGTTCTACTCAAGGGAATCTGTACTGATGAACAAACAAGAGTATACACCTACTAATACCGAATAACAATACTCAAATCGGACCAAGCAATTCGAGTTTCTACGAGATGTTAGAAGAATTCGACTAGTTTGCTAGGCAATATGTAAAAAGGTTTTCGCAAAAATTGCAATTAGTTGAACTGACAAAAAACCAATCTTTTAATTACGTTTTTAAACATTTTTATCTGAGCCTAGTCACAAACGCTACAGGATAGTGAAAATCACCATTTTTTACCACTTTTGAGAGATAACTGAGGATTTTGATATTTTTCAATGCCTGTAGCATCTTCTTGCATCAAACAATTTCAATGAAATTTTCAGCATGTATGTAAGTTAATAAGATCTATAAAAAGCATTGTCTCAATTTTCATTCTCAGCTCAGACAAAAAAGTTTGAAAGCATAAGTTTTCCATTATTCCTTGTCACTCCAAACAATTGTAATTTTCGCGAAAATTTCGGTCACACGTTAACTAGTGAACTAGACCTTCTAAAGTCTGGAAAAACGTCCATGTGGTTTGATCGAATTTGAAGAAAGTAACCCTGTTTTAAAAGGTGTATACTCACTTTTGTTGATCACTGTATATTAAGCCCTATTCAAGAGAATCTATATTGGTCTGGTTGATCAAAGGAAATAGATATTTGTATGCAGCAGCCTAGTGCAAGATGTGTACATACCAATTTCCATCTGAAAAGAAGTTGAACGTCCTTGCACCAGGGTGATATCGAGAGAAGAGGTGTCCAGGAGCAAGTGGTCGAGGTGAAATGGTGAATCGCCGATGAAAGTTGTGCCCTTCGGTGGAGGAGATAGGTCGGTCGTCGGGATTTGTTTCTTGGTAAAATTTGGATCGCGGTGTCGGGCCTCGCGAGGGGATTTTGCTGGGGCAGAGGGACGAAATAGAGCCGGTAAAGCCAGCTGCACGGACGCGCACCGTCCGTCCCGTGAAGTCGTCGAAGCGAGGTTTGTCAGTGTTGCACGTTTCCAAACACTTCCCGGCCCTCGACGTTACGCAATATTCCACGTAAATACATAACACATTTTCCCGTGAGCTCCAGTGAAAATAATCGTCCTGCCGTGTTCCTTTTACGAAGGAACCACCTCGAGGTACACCTCTCGGCACTCGCACCACCTCGCCCGCTCTAAATCGGTCCTATTTCTCGGCGGGTCCGAACTGACTTTCTGCACAAAAGCTTCGGCTCCGTTGTTTTTTCACGACCAAAAAATCTTAGAAGCCTTAACGGGCCGGTCGGCCTCTGCTCGCGACAGGAATTCACTATGCTCTCTCTTCCCCGGGTCTTGTTCTCAGTACCGTCGAAATCTCGTCGTGTGTGTAAACAAACTTAATAAAATGCACATTTTCGCGAGTATCTCGAATGGATTACCGCACTTTTTCCAACGGGAAAAAAGGTAAATGCAAAAGACATACTCGCACTCTCGAGGTACAAGGCAAACTATTGGATTTTGTATGGCAAACAAGGAACTGACTGGTCGTATAGCGGGATGAGGAAGGTGGAGGGGATCAAGCAGGACCGTATTCATCCGCTAAGCGTCTCTGTTACCAACCACTCGGGTACCTCCTGCAAAGCATATACGTGACACGCATTGGCCCTCGCCGTAGAGAGACTTCTCTCTTTCAGAACTTTCATTAATTCTGCATCGATTATTCTACGGTATCTTTTTGCCACGGGTCTTGTCTTCGGCACGGACACTACAACCGCCACGAACCAAGCTCACGATGCCCGGAATCACTCGGAATGGAATCGCTACGGCGGAATCGTTCGTAAACGTATTAACATGACAATTACGCACGCGTGAGTTTGTCCGGAATCGTATTTTTCTATACCGCCTGTCGCTCGAACCACGCTCTCCGGACGATATCGCTGACAACTCTTTTCCGCGTTACGATTTTGAAAAGCGACCAACATCCACTCGTGTCTATTTATTTATTTCACCATTGTTCTCCTCTCTTTCTGTCTTACACACGCGTTATCGTAATAACTCGAGCTCGTTACGCGATCGGGGGAACATTCTGAAAAATTCACTCGTCACAATAAAAAGTTTCTGTCTATCGATACAAATAGCACACAGTCTTGAATAACACGACGTCAAACTTTCATTCGAGTAATTTCGCACCTCGCGTTTAATAGTACATTATACATTACACTGATGAATAACTATGAAGCCACACACAACCCGAGATTTCTGCTCCGCTGGTACACTATCCGTAGTTCTCACAGCATATGGAATTTTAATTACGCCATAGTAGACGGCGATTTGACACGGGCCGAGCGAGATGCGTGTATGTATGTGCAAACTTGAATAACAGCGCGAAACATTTTCTGCGAACGGTACGAAACGGAAAAAGTTAGAAAAAGCGACACACGGGAGCCAGTCAGCATGATGCACAGAAAATCGTGTGTAATACTATTTCGGCGGGTCGTTTTACCGAAACGGATCCCATTTCTTTGGCTTCGAATCGGTTTCGGTGGTTTTCACTCGTGCAAAGTCTCTATGCCGCGGGAAATCACGCGAGGAAACTAGTCTCCAGACATCTTCCGATGAAAGTCGCATCGCGTCGATGAAATTGAAGAATCGCGTGACACCTAATCGGTTGGCTGTTGGTACAGCCCTGGAAATTGTGGCGGCTTCGCCGCCAAGTGGCGCGCGCAGTCCACGAAATATCCAAGCGTTTCCCCGCGGCCGACATGTTCGCGCGGCCAACAGCTGTTCCGAAAGGCGAGCGAACTCCCCATCGTAATCTGGGTCATGGAAACTGCGCAAAATGGGTTGCACTTGCACCAAAAACGCGCATTTCTTCAAAAACCGGAGGATCGCCTTCGGAATTTCGTCTAATCCTATGAACGGAACTAGCACGCGATACGTTGCTCTGCACACTATAAATTGCCATTCGAAATATGCAACCTCCTGCGAGCAGCCGTTGCATATCTGTCAACGTGCTTGACTGGTTCCCGAGCAGAGAGCCGCGCGTCGATTGGCCGAGGATTTTCGGGCATCGACCTACGCGCGAGGCTCGAAACTGGCACTGCGACCATTCCTGAAATTTTTATCCATTCGAATATTTGCATTTTAATCGTAGAATTCATAAGTTTATCTGTACCATAAAGAAATACATAGAATTTAGTGCACTTCAAGTAAAACAACGTCGGAGGTATGAAATGAAAGATTATTAGGAGTCGAGGGACAAAGAATAGAAACGATGAGGCAAATAAGAGAAGAGGATTGAAATATCTTACAAAACACCAAAGAAAGGTACAAATAATAATAATGATAATAACAATAATAATATTTAGATAATAGATGCCAAGAACAGTAGGTCGGGGTTAGGCATAAGACAAAACCATCTAAACAGATGTAACCGGAAATCATCTTAAGCTGAAAGGCAAGGATCATAAAAAAATAATAAAAAATAATAGTGCACTGCACGTGCATGGATACGATGGATGCGTTACAAACAGCAATCTAAGAAGATTGGATTGCTTTGTCTTAAACATAAATAAAGATTTAGTCATTAAAATTAATACTAGATTCAGTAAGGCTTGAACTTGAGTATATTTAAGTATTATGTATACAATAGTAGAATATATGAATTTTATACATCATGAATAGAACTTATATCATTTATTAATTCTCAATCAAATTCTTATAACACTTAGATTCATCATTTTTTTTGTACACAGGCTATAAATTTACGAAAAAGTCTACCACATTTCTTTATTAATTAGCTAGCAGTGTGCACAGTTTATATTTGATTATACATATAATTGCAAAATGTAAAATGCTTAAATACTTAAATACATCATTTTTAAATATAATTATAAGATAGTCACAGCACACAACTAATATAAAAGTACTACAGTGAAACTTTATCTGAAATATAATATTTTAATAGAGTGAAATCGAAAGTGGTTGGATTATCTTAAGCTCTCGTTAGATATTCAAACATTGAATTATTCGAGTAGTCCCAAATTCAATATGTATGGTACATATGTATATGCATAGAAAGCTTGCATACACGCTACATTTCGTCAAATATACCTTGTTTCTTTATCAAAGAACGTATTTAATGTTTTTTTCATAATATTTTCTATATAGGATTTCCTATCAAAGTTTTATTTCATTTCCGTTGTAATGTGTGATGCTAGTGCAGTATATTCGCTGCACACGTGAAACATAATCGGTATCTATGAAATGCGTATGTAAATATACATACACAACACCACGTGATCGATCTGGTATTTTCTTTCAACCTTTACAATATCCCTAAATTTATAAATTCTTCTGGAAATGCTATTGTTATGATTGTGTTCGTGTAAGAATCAATACGCACGCAATTAAGGTTAACACGATGTCGAGCACACCATGAATTCGAATATTGTGAGAATCTTGAAACATGATCTCATTTTAGCAGAATATATGTGTACAATCACGTTGGTCGATCAAAACCACGTTTAAATATTATTATTTGTAACAAAAAATTTTAAGAATAGAAAAATTTACAATTCTAGTATTTTAATATCATGCAAATAAAAATAAAGTTATTCAGAGTACATGATAGTTTCTTTATTTAACTAAAAAAAACAAGATGCAATTGTATTCTTATGGTCATAAATGTACATTTTAGTACATTCTATATAATAATGTAATAAATCTTAGTTTTGTGATATACTGACTTACATATGTATATGTTATATGCATTTATTTAATAGGTTTTTTTAGGCAATTGTTGAAGTAATTAACCAGAAAGAAGATGCACACATAGGAAATATTGTACTGAAATAGACTTTATGGAATAAAAATTGATTATTGTAAAATATTAGAAAAACTACCAGTCTCAGAATGTTTAAAAAAGTGGTTGTGGGTATATCTGGTGGAGTTGATAGTGCTGTAGCAGCATTTATGTTAAAAGATAAAGGTATATAAAGAATACTGTAAGGTCTTACATTACACATTGATTAATAATATTTTAAAAGCATTAATCATAAAATTCTCTAAGGATTCAATGTTACTGGAGTGTTTATGAAAAATTGGGATGTTACCGATGAAACGGGAAGGTGTACAACAGAAGAAGACTATAAACACGCACAATGGGTGTGTGATAAATTAAAAATACCTCTTATACAAGTCAACTTTGTAAAAGAATATTGGAACAATGTCTTCAGGTAACTTTTTTATCGTTGAAGTCTTAATCTTTATTTATATTTTTTCAGATATTAATTTTTTATCCCTTCTGTTATTAAATAGTTACTTAATAGAACAGTATCAAAATGGTTTTACTCCTAACCCAGATATCATGTGCAACAAATATATTAAATTCGATAAATTTTTCCACTTTGCACGCACCGAGCTTCAAGCTGATGCTATTGCAACTGGACATTATGTCAGAACTAGTTTTGGACCTCATCTTGAGAATTTTAAGCCAGATAGAAGTATATATTCCTTATATGGATATTTATAATATTTGAATATAATACAATTTATAACTTCTTTGATATACTGCAACATTTAATATCTTTTAGATGTTCAGTTATTAAAAGCAGAAGATGAAAGAAAGGATCAAACACTTTTTCTCAGCCAGATACCTCAAGTACCATTACGATACTCTATGTTCCCCCTTGGAAATTACTTGAAAAGTAATGTTAAACAAATTGCAAAAGAAATTGGACTGGAGTTAGTTGCTAACAAGAAAGAAAGCATGGGTATATGTTTTGTGGGAAAACGAAATTTTCAAGACTTTATATCCGAGGTACATAATGATTTCAGCTATGTATTAATATACACTTCTATCATGCAATATTGTTGAAGGAGAAAAAACTTCATTATTTCATTGTAGCATTAAAGTAATCCTATATTTATAGTATATACCAGACAAACCTGGAGATTTTATAGACGTAGAGACTGGACGTGTGATTGGAAAACACATGGGTCTTCATCATTGGACTATTGGACAAAGAACGAAAATTCAATGTGGTTCAGAGGCGGTCTTTGTACATAAAAAGAATGTAGCGACTAATGCTATATTTGTGGTACGTAAAAGTAATTTAAAATTCGAAATGGAAATTAAATAGAATTACAATGATTAATCGATGTTTCTTAGGTACAAGGGACAAATCATTCAGCATTGTATTCAGATCTAATCAGGACTGAAGTTCCTCACTGGATATCCGAAGAACCAGAGGAGCTGAATGGTGACTTTAACATATTAAATTGCGACTTTCGTTTTCAACATAAACATCCTATGGTACCCTGTAGAGTTCACAAGATCTCAACCAATGAACTAATAATTAAACTTAGTCAGCCTTTGAGAGCCATTACAGAGGGACAGGTATTTTTCGTTTTATACGTTAATTTAAAAAAAGAAATCGGGATTAAATAATATTTACCATTTCTCGTACGAATTTTTCATTATGATTTCAGTTTGCAATTTTATATAATGGAGAGGAGTGTCTAGGCAGTGCCCCAATTAAGTACCCTGGTGCATCATATTACGCTCTTGGCCGAAAATTGATAGAGGAACATTGGGAATACTCTAATGGGGAAAAAAAGATTTCACAAGTTGTTGTATAGTATTGTAAAGTGTTGCATTGTAAAATACGATTTGCTTCCATCTTTGTTTGTAACATAAAAATAAAGTACCGATAAAAGCGCAGCCTAAATTAATGTTTTACCTTATGTAATCCTCTAAATCATCTTCTAAAAAAAAAAAAAAAACAGTTGATTATCAATAACTTGAAATTAGAACTATACGAACATTATTTCTTGCTGTAAAACATGTAGACGGAACGAGACGTCATCATAGAAGAAAATAAAGCCGTTTCGAGAAATTGGTTTTCGGGTGTACTAGAAACGCCAAATTTCGTTCATCATGATGACTCCCGAGGATGATCTTTACGGCTGCAACATAATGTACTGGAATTTCCTATCAAATCATGAAGAATGTATTAGTCGAAGAAAATTACATAATAACAGTAAGTTAACATTCTAAAGTAATAAAAACAAAGTTTCCGAAATTGTGCTCGTCAAAGGATATTGAGAAATCCGTGAACCAAACAATATTTCGAAGAATCCATAGTATCCTCTCATTTCTCAGGGATGAGAGAAGATTGGAGGTGAAATTAAAAAGTGTCCACTATATGTATATCGTTGTCCTTAGGCCACTGCGAACACAGAAAGAATCTCGTGTATTAATCCCAGGAATTTTTGATCGCCAAATAATTAATTAACAGACGAACGTTTTCGAACGTCTCCCAATTCATTTTTACAGTTTCGTCGCTGAGAAGGCACAATAAAAACTATAAAAATATTTTCTAGATCTCAAGGGTTCGATCTAATCGATACGAGAATGATCAGTCTCGGAATAAGTTGGCAAGTTGCCGCAGATGTTATCCAATAATTAAAAACGTTGCTAACATATAAAATCGTTATCAGTGGTTCGAAACAGCTGACAGATGAGCGAAAGTATACGCAAATTACTAACATCGTAAACCTCGTCGTCGCTTAGAACGAAAGGTTTCAAATCGGGCCATCCGACGTTCCAAGGGCAACACGACCTTTTAACCCTTGAATAGCGGACCTTGATACCATTTCGACCCGGAGTTGCAAATTAGCAGGCTGTTCGAGTCGTTTATACGAGGTCTACTAAAAAGATCAAAGACTTAGGCTGAAAACACACGAAGAAACGAACGCCTATGGACTCGAACGGCTCCAGCCATGATCGCTGATCGCATGCAGCACCTTCGGCAACCACCATAAAATAAAAACCTTCGCGTGTTCCGCATTCTTACGATCCGCCTACAAAGACAGTCGAGTCCCGATCGCGGACGGTTGCAACCCCCGTGCTCCCCGACGATCATCGGATCCCGGTCGCGAGAAAGGGTTGCGCCGTGTGCGCCGGCAGGATCTCGGCGGCGGCTCGCCGTTCGAGGTTCTTACGTTTTGTAACGGCAATCCGGTGCTGGCGATGAGAAAAGACGTTAATAACGTCGGGGGGTCACGTGTAGAATGTAAAACAGCGCGTCGCGTTATTGAACGATAACTGCAAGTTATTAGGGTCGATTGACGAGTAACTGGACGTAAGGAGCGCGTAAAATGGCCCTCGCGGTGTGCGTGCACGTACAGAGTGCCTCCGCCTCGATTGTTGTTACCATCGCCACTGGCGTTGACCGCCGACATACGTTACATATGGAAATTACTGGCCGTACAAATGTCGCTGGGACTAATTTGCCCCGTACGCGCAACGTTACATTAACATTCGTGTCGTGATCGCCGCCCGTACCAATAGCTCCCGGGGCTGCCTGTGTGATCTTCATTCGCGGGCGCAGTGTCACACCATTCAGGAATCGGTGGCGATCGGTGTGTGGCTTGGCTTGGCTGGCAATCCGCGCGGCTGCTCGCCGTCAGTACGATCTTTGGTCCCGGCGAAGGAACCACGGTCGCTCCGCGGTTCGGCGATGTAAAAAGTCCACCCGGTGGTCCGCGGGTTACGAACGTGATATTACCGCATAGAACCTCGTGAACATGAAGTAAGAGGAGGGCCGACTCAGACAGAACCAACCGGACTTGCTTTCAGAAAAGATGAGGGGCGGAAGCAGCCTGAGCCACTACAACGACGACGAGTTCTTCAGCGGAGGACCCTGTCCGTCCTGTCGTCTGGCGATCAACAAGGAGACCGGACGCTTGAAGTACCAAAATGGGATCACTTTCTTAAGGCTTGGGACAAGCCGAATCGTTCGGTCGCTGTGTAATCACGAAGGTACTCGTCGGCTTGCGCAGGTGGTGCATGGGAGGGAACGACACTTGGCGGTTCCGCGTGAAGCTGATGCTGCTGATACCGGCGGTCCTGCTGCCGATCACCATCATCTTCATCGCCCTGTCCCGGTCCCAGGTGATCGGGAAGGCGCCCTATTACCGGACCTACCTGATCCACGCGGCGGGTCGCAGGCCCGACGAGAGGACCGAGGAAACCTTCCCGCGTAAGTCCGTGTCTCGTCGCCGCTTGTAAAATGAACTTGACTTTTAACGACGTCCGGCCAGCTAGCTAGCGCTGTACTTCAAGGATCCGTTCGGAGCAAAGTGCGTGCGCGTGGCCGTGATTTGACCGGCAGTTACGCTGGAAGGATCGCGGGAAACCATTAATGCATAATCAAGGAATTAACCACCCGTCGTCGTCGTCGCGTAATCGCTCTGAATTCGCGGCACATGCGGCCGCCGCCGATCTAACTGGCACTTGATTCGCACGGTCGCCGACACTTGTGCCTCGGTTTCTTTCGGGTTCGACGCTGCGAACGTTTCATTTCCGATCTCTTCCCCGAGTTGTTCGATTCGTTACTTTTTGTCAGATCGACCGAGACGAGAATGTTGAACGGAAGAATCGGCGATTTAGAGGATCGAGCTGCCGCGATCGTTGTCAACTTCTCGCGGATTTTTCGCGGAGCGCTAGATCGCGTATCGGAAAATAATGGGAAACGGTGAGAACGGTCCTGACGTCCTCGTCACGACGTCGACCAAGGTTCGTCCTCCAAGGGTTGAAAGCGACCGCAGGTGCCGCTAATCGGAACGACCGATTTTTCGTCCCTGCTCGAAATCGTAACAGCGCGTTCGACGATGCTCGACGCGATTTCCGATCGTTCGTTCGCGGCGCGGCACCTTTACGATCCCGATCACAGTGAACGAAAAGATCGGAAATGGGTCACGGTGATCCTCCGTCCGCGGGCTGTGTTAACGCGGTCACTATGATAGGGTTATAAATGACCGTGCACTGCACTGCGCAAAGTGTCTCGAAATTGATGGGCCAGCCTCCGGACCGTCCGCCGGTATTCCTGACAGGACTGATACAGTTAGAGCTTCGGTGCTCCCTGTGACGTTACCATTTCCGGCCATTTAAATTCCAACGGAATGATCGCATATTTGCATAAAGCGGAGATGAGCCGGTGGGAACGGGGATTAATCGTTTCGCAATTAGAAATAGAGAGTTGTTCGCGGGGACGCGAGATCCTCGCGAACGAATTGTTGCTCGCGAGGATCGCGAGAACCAGCGGCACGATGAGCGATCGAAGGCGCGATCGAGCGATTAATAGCGTGATTTTTTGTCGCCAGCGACCAGCCATACCGAAACCGAACGCACCGGAGAGGAAGAGGAGGACGAAGGAATCCTGATATCTGGGATGAAAACCAGCTACGTGCCGGTGGAAACGGCCATACCGCCGCAGCATTTGAAACGACGCAAGAGAGAACTCGACGGGGTACATTATCCGCAAGGAAATTGAGAGCGACACCACTTTAGATGCACTATAGCCATACGATAACGTTCTTCTCTATCGTATTCCTTCGGCTCTTCAGATCATCGTCTCTTTCCTTCGGTCTAGCAATTTCTCGAGTCCGGTATCGTCGGCTTCGAGCGGCCGAACAGGTCGCGATCGATTCGGGATCATCGGGCATCCTGCGTCAAGATCCTTTAAGAGAGATTTCCAAATCTCAACAAGTGTCCTGATTTTTCTAATTCAGCGATAATGATCCTTCGAATGCGGAAAGAATTTATTCTCGCTGTCGCTTCGTGTTAGATCAACTCGAGAAGATCGCGATCTAGCGGCTGTGTCACCGTTTCGCTTTCAGATCGCGGCATAATTTTTTCGGTTTCCAACGAACTATTCCGTCCGATCGATCATCGATTAATTATCCAGCGAATCGCAGCAATTTCTTAACGCGTTTTTCATAATGACGACGACGACAACACGTTTCGGACGAAAAACGAGAGAGTTCGGGTAACGAGCGTCGTGTGCGCAGCAACGTTAATTAGCGTTAATCAACATCAAATTAGTGTTACTGGTGCACTGGTAGAAATATCGATCGTCCCACTGCCAATCCTCTCATTTCGTACAAGGACAATTAAAGTTGGCTTTATCTTCTTTCCTCCTACCGGGAGGAGCTAAACGAGGAAGAGCAACGTTTCCCAATATAAAACAATTTCAGCGACGCTCCTCGCTGCCGGCTCTTTAATCGTTTCAACGACGTCGTAAGATGCATTGAAAATTGTTCGCAGGTGCAGTCGACCGACTACGTCACCGGGAAGGTGGACGAGCTTAACGCCGATGAAAATTCGGACAATTACCTGGACGATTATTATCCGGAGGTAGACGCCGAGGAGATAAAGGATAACTTGGAGATCGAAAGCAACGACTATCGAAAGTTAGTGTAGTCCACTTACGTTGTGCAAAATTAACTTCGGCGACCCTTTATTTAGTCAGTATGGCCGCGGTCTAAATTCCATCGTTATTAACTTCTAATATGTTTCGTTAAAGACACTGGAGATTATCTTCTATTTTCGAAGCGACGGTGCACACTTTGCATTTCGACGAGAGAAAATCGTGGATGAAATTTTATGGCGTCTTTGTAAAGGGGAGACTTCGATCTTCGTATCCACCATGATTTTAGTCGGGGACAATAATTTTCAGACTCCCTAGATTCGTTGCAAAATCGAGTTTGATCAAACTTTCAACAAGATGCTCATCTTCGTCTTCCGACTCGTTTCTAAATTTTACAAATATCTCCTAAAAAAATTAATCCACGGGATTTCGAAGCAGACGGTTCACTCTTTAAAACAAGCCCAGATAGATCCCCTCGCGATTGTCTCCCGCAAAGTTATAACCGATCAAAGATCAACGATCTTTCCTCGACGATTCTGAGCATCGTTTTCGTAGCTACGGGGAGCATTCCTGCGACAACCATAAGCTCGAGGAGGAGCTGCACTCGAGATCGTTCGGTGGAAAGTACGACGACAACGAGGAGCAATCGCAGGACGAGTCCGACGAGGGCGAGCAAGGCGGTAGACGGTCGATCTCGATCGACGATCTAGACTCGAGCCTGCCGATCTCGGACGAGCAAACCGACGAGACCGAGCCGAACTTCGACACGTTCTGGAAGAGCGAGGGGAACGCCTGGGACATCAGGGAGGCTAAAGGTACATTTGGCACGCTGCCCATCTAGCCGCCCTGCGTAATTTCTGCTCACACGCTTTTTAAGAAACAGATGTTCGCCGCAGCAAAAATCATGCTCACGTACATGGACAGAAGCACCGATCCCTGCGAGGATTTCTACCAGTACGCCTGCGGTAACTGGGCCAGGCACAATCCCATACCGAAGGACAAGTCGGCCTACGACACCTTCGAGATGATCAGGGAGTCCTTGGACACCGTCCTCAAGGAGCTGCTCGAGGAGCCCATATCCCCGGAGCTGGAATCGGACGTCGACGACGCGACCGTCAAGGCGAAGTACTTGTTCCAGAGCTGCATGAACTACGGTAACTACGGATCTGAATTTTGTTCGCTAGGGGCAATTGTGTTCTTTCATTATTATCGCGGACGATCTTCGCGCGAACTCGAAATTCCATGCATCGGTTGCGAGGAACAGGAGTCACTTAGGACTCTTGTTATTACTATTTTATTTAATCCTTGCCAGCTAGGTTTATAATCACTTCTAGTTTACATCTTCACCTTCCCACTGTACGGTGAATTACAATTAAACATATTTTCTTATCCTATTCTATTATTTACAGTAATAACTAATAGTCTAATAATCTTACTTAATCTACTCTAAATATCTAATAACGCAGCAACAAAACAGAACGCAAATGAAAAGAAAATTTACATTATCTATTACACTTAGGACTCTTGTTCTTCCCCTAATAGCTTGGTGTACGAGTATTTTATAGCTCCTTTAATCTTCCTTCCGTTTTAACACGTTCACTGCCAAGCCTACTGAAACGCTTCTTAATTGTCAGCCATTTAAAGGAGGTACGGTAACGAGATTCCGTTCGCAAGAGTTAAAGAATGATCAGGATTGCTTGTATCGAATTTAGAACAGATCGGTCGTTCGCGATTGATCTTGAACAAATTGACCGCGGGCTATCGAAACGTTCTAACGCGCGAAATGTGGCTAGAGATCTTGGAGCAACGCATGGGACGGCCACTTATAGAGCTCCTGGACGAACTCGGTGGTTGGCCGATCCTCAGGCCCAACTGGGACCCGGAGAAGTTCGACTGGCTGCTTCTGGTTGCTCAGCTGAGGCTCTACAACAACGATATCCTGATTTCAGAATGGGTTGCGCCGGATATTAAGAACAGCGACGAGTATATAATACAGGTAACAGGACCGATTACCATATTTTCTGGTTGATGCTTCTATAAAGGATTTTAACGCAGTTCGATCAGACGTCGCTGGGACTCCCGACGAGGGACTACTTTCTTCAGCCGTCGAACATCATCTACTTGAAGGCCTACAAGAACTATCTGATCAAAATCGCGACCCTGTTGGGAGCACCTTTGCAGAATGCCACCATGGACGCCGACGAATTGATAGAGTTCGAAACGCGATTGGCCAAGGTACGAATTCCTTTGCTAAGTTCGACGAAGCAGATCGGTCTGTCAAGGTTGACCGAAACGACGAAAATCCTTTCAGATCACATCGTCCGCGGACGAGAGGGGAAACGTCTCGGAACTGTATCAGAGAATGAGCATCGGCGAACTGAGAAGTCTTGTCCCCCAAATCAACTGGCATCAGTATCTGACGATTGTTTTAGCTAGACCGATGAACGCTACCGAACCAGTCGTCGTTTACGCGTTGCAGTACATCCAGGATTTGGTGAACCTCTTGTCGAAAACTAGTCCACGGTACTCTGATGAAAAAGAAAAAAAAAGAAAAATTAATTTCTGCTCGAACCGTTTCTGATACTTTTCGTTTTATTCGCAGGACCATCGCGAATTACCTTCTGTGGCGATTCGTCAGGCACAGGGTGAACAATTTGGACGATCGATTTCAGGAAGCCAAGCAGAAGTTTTATTACATCCTGTTAGGCAGGGAACAGGCGCCGTCGAGATGGAAGAATTGCGTTGCTCAGGTGAATTCGAACATGGGGATGGCCGTGGGATCGATGTTCGTGAAGAAGTATTTCGACGAGAAGAGCAAGAACGACGTGAGTGTTCTCCAACATCCGTTATCGTCATTAGCATCGGTAGGACGATACGAAGACTTTAACGATAATGATGCTACTACAATCGTGAATTTCCTTTCGCAGACATTGTCGATGATCCGAGAAATCCAAAGAGCCTTCAGAGAGCTGTTGAACCAGACCAGCTGGATCGACGACGAAACGAAGGAGCTGGCGACCGAGAAGGTGATCGCCATGCTGCTGCGAATCGGTTACCCTGATTTCATTTTGCAGCCGAAGCTGTTGAACAAGCGCTACAAGGATGTAAGCCTGGACGTTGACTGTCTCCGAACTCCGCGGAGATTAGATTATCCCGATAAATGGTCGACGGTGCGCAAACATGGCTAATTCTCTGACACTCTAGATCGTTATCCATCCGGACAAGTACTTCGAGAACACCTTGAATATTCTGCAACACCTAACCAGGGTGGGACAGGACCGTCTCGGCAGCCCTGTGAACAAAACTCTGTGGAACACCGCCCCGGCCGTCGTGAACGCTTACTATAGTCGAAGCAAGAATAGGATAAGTCAGTTTGATTTTTCTGTATGGACGAATCGGTGGTCATCAAACTTTGTCGAACTTTCGGATCATTGGGGGATTCAAGGTCTTCTATCGTCTCTAAAAGAAGAATCGTTTAAGAATCATTCAAAAACATTACAATGTTTGGGACACACGGTTTGAAGGCCACTGGGTTAAACAAAATTAGAGGAAAAATGTTGCAAAGCGGAGAGAGGGTTGAATTGAGAAGTTCTTACGAGGTTTCTTACAGCCTGTGTAAAATGTTCTGCTTAATTAATCGATTTGAATCGTGTAAATCTCAAAAGCGTGATAGCTCAATGAATCATGGCACCATTGCAAGTTTAATCGTCCGACGCTAAGCTGTGATAAGCTCTGTTTGCAGGATGATTCATTTTCTAAAGAAAATCGATATTTCACAGTTCTCTGTCACGGTGAAAAAGCTTATCGTAGAATTAGAGATGAAAGTACGAAAGCCTTTTGCACCTTAACAATTGATAGAACAATCGTATCAATTTAGAGCGACGCGGTATCTTTCGTATTCAATCCTCTGTTCTCGTCTGCAGATTCTCTCTTGTGTTCAAGGCTCGACTAATTACGAACTAATTTCCACCCTCAGTGATCCCAGCCGGCATACTACAGCCGCCATTTTATCACAGATACTTCCCACGGAGCCTGAATTTCGGCGGGATCGGTGTGGTGATCGGCCACGAAATCACCCACGGTTTCGATGATAAGGGTCGACTGTTCGACAAGGACGGCAATCTGCATCGTTGGTGGAAGGACGAGGCTATTTACGGTTTCCACCAGCGAGCCCAGTGTCTTATCGGTAATGGATCGCCCACTTTTTAGCGCCTCCATTTGCAAGTTCCAAAACTCCTTTAATCTTTCAGACCAGTACAGCCATTACACCGTCAGCGAAGTTGGGATGCAAATCGATGGAATCAATACGCAAGGGGAGAACATCGCGGACAATGGCGGCATCAAGCAAGCTTTCCGTGTGAGTCCTTAAGGGAATCGCTCGTTACTATCAATCGAAGGCTATCTGGTAGCTTTTGGTAGTCAATATCTCAGGAATATCTTCACCGATCTGTCAGTAACTAAATGCTGTGCGTCTATGACTTGGTAACTTCGGTTTCCAAATTTAATAGTTCTCTTCAGGGCCTATAAGTAAGATGGCTGCGCCAGAATGTGGAGTTTCAGTTGAAAGCTTTTCAACCTAAATAACAAAAGTTCTTTACTACGGCTTGATAAACTTTAACGATAATCCTTAAAGTAAACTGTTCCCCTCAGGCATACGAAAGATGGCTGGGCGAAAACGGAGGCGCCGACGAAACCCTGCCTGGATTGAACGCAACCGGAAAACAGCTGTTCTTCCTGAACTTCGCGCAAGTGTGGTGCGGTTCGATGAGACCGAAAGCCTCCAGGAACAAACTGAAAACCACCGTGCATTCGCCGGGCAAGTTCCGCGTGATCGGAACACTGTCGAACTCTGAGGACTTCTCGGAGGTGTTCAGCTGCCCCCTCGGCTCACCGATGAACCCTGTTAACAAATGTTCCGTTTGGTGACAAGCCGGGAAGCTCGTCGATCCAGGATCGATACGAGTCTTCGCTTCAAAGAGAACTCGAGGGAGATTAGTTTCGCGTTGCCTCTTAGGTCGTGCTGGTCGATGACGGATGTGGGATGGTGGAAATTAATCCTGCAATAGCACATTTGAAATCACTGATTTTGACCGCTGCTCCTCGCTGATTCTCGGCAAATATTTTACTATATCCGAAGGATATCTCATCTAACTATTTTCCTTCTAATGTATGGAAAATGCCTCAAACACATTTTGAATGACTATAAATTATTCCTTTAGGTCTCGTCGATATGTTTTTGTCGTACAACATGTACTTTTTGCGATTGAAAAGACACCGACAAACTAAAGAACATTTGAAAAGAATGAATCCGTGTTTGGAACATTTCTCGCGTCATTAAAAATTAAGAGAACGTTTAAGCGTTGTAGTCCTAGACGGACTTACACTATACGAGCGCATATTTTTTGGTAACGCTACCGCAGGGTTAATCTCTATCCTTCTGGCACGTCAGTCGTTCTCAATAATCCTCGCGCTTCGTAAGGGTAGTAGACTCTCTATAACAATCGCTTCGCGGTGATCTTCGTCGCGACTGAAATATCTCTTCGTTAGAGTGTAACAAGATGGCGGAGTCGAAGGGACCACATAAATCCTGTACCGTTATCTAAGGAACGCCTACGGTGACCGACTAGGGGAGCTGTAACTAACAAAATACTCTATGTAGTTTTCTTAACTAAAAAACAACCGTAAATAAAGAACGATAGTTCGGCTTGCTGGACCGAGTATCGTGCAAAGAGCAGGTAGATATTAATAACAGCTGCGCTGTTCCGACGAGAAATACAAATTGTAAGACACCAAAGACAATAATAATTTCAGACAGTCATAAAAATCTTTACAATCTATTTCCCTGTATATCCACACACTACTACATGTATTGAAATTCTTTTCGTCGTTTTATAACTTATGTCGTCGCACCTCTCCTACTCTCTTTCTCTCTCGCGGAATCGTGTGAGCCTTGTCGCGATCATTCGTCGCATCCAACGTACATCATACATACTATGGATTAGAAACGTTCTCACCTCTGTAAGAATGCTCGTAAAGTAAAAATTCGTCAACATTCAGCCTAGCACACCTGTCCTCGCGGATCTCCACCGACGCACACGCGAAAAATCGTTCGTCGTTTTATCCGTTTCTCTTCTCCTTCCTTTTTTTGTCCATTCCTCTTTTTCACTTTCTCTCTCTCTCTCTTTCTTTCTTTCTCGCCTTAGTTTCATTCCGTTTTATACAAATTCTGCAGCCTTGCTTACGGTAATAAATAGAACAATTGTTGAACGTCGCGGGTACAGGGTACTCGAATAAAAAAAGTCTCTCGCCGGGGTAGAAAATACAAGAAAGAAACATGTTTATCGGTCGTAGATGCGATATCGATCGACTATCATCCTCGTCGCCTTGTACTATGGTACTCTATAATGACATTAAAATACTTCAGTCGAGGCAGCTTAAAAGTGCGCTTCAATCAATAAAACTTTCCTTCGATTCGTATTGACTGGTCGATGTCTCGATCGGCTACCGAGAGACACACACACACGCCCCCCGCAATCGGCTTTTGATACTTCGAATATTCGGGTATCCGTGAACCATCTGACTAAACATATCGTTTTTCTGGTTTTGTTTGGAAACGGCGGACTTAATTAGTTGACAGGTATTGGGGGGTCTTCTTGGAGGTGTTCTATGAATCAAGAGTAAAATGATATTTCAGTCTGAATAAATGAACACATATATTATTTATTCTTTGAATCATTTTAGTCTCATTCGGCGATTTAAATTAAATCAACTGTCGAGTTTTAATATTAATAACTGCATTAGCTTTGTGCGTATGAGTGTTCGAATAATTAATATAATGCTTTTTTTTTTAAATAATATCACGTTTTAATCGGCATCGTAAAATTCCAAGGAAGAACCGAGAGAAAGGAACGCAACTCTTGATACGTAGCCACCAGGTAACCAGGCGCTCGGATACCGGAATAAGGTGTCAAATCATGCACGATGCCGGAGTAGAAAGTTTCATCAAATTGTACAATCTTATCTTTACAATTTATTTACGTATTGCCATTCGTATCGAGTAATTGAGTGTTAACGAGTAGTAAAAATAAAATCGTACTTGTACGGCGCGTGATCAATTATTTAGTATAAAGCAGATTGAACCGTGGATTCGATCGACGGGAAGAATTCGTCGATCGTCGAACAAAGATTCCTTTCGTCGTTTCGTAGTGTCGGTGATATTTAAAAATCGTGCGTTTCAAAAAGTCTTTATACAAAAAGTCCGTTTTAGATATTACGAGAAAGCTCGATTGGTGTTTATGTTTTCTTGGTTGATCGTACAAAGTGTTATGCTTCATACTACATAATTAATTCTGGTAGCGTGAGGGCCGACGGTTGTTCGGTTACAAGAATTTCGTTGCTGCGTAGCTGAGAGCACGCTTCACGGCATCTTCGGGAAACCGTCTTCTCCGTCCCCTCTTTTCTGCTTTTTACTTTTTAATTTTATGCGGATTGCGTATATATATAATTATTTATACATAGACATTCTCGGAGTGATATTAAATACCACATGAAATTCGATGGCCTTATATCCTATTATGTATAGCCATTACAAATTATACGAGAGTTTAGATTCCTTTACCTTCTATGACGTTTTATCAAAATTGGCCTATTAAATATATAAATATATGTTTCGCGTATGCTACTTCCATCCGCCCGATCCCCAAATCAAGCGGAATCATATATGTATATATATATATACCTTAGAGCTCCTGTTCAACTCCTATTACCACCGTATTACGTATACGTATTTCGTTTAACAAATATATCTTCACTTATGCAGAAACTGGTACTCCAAAATGTCCTCTTCATCTGAAAAAGAGAAAACAAACGTCAGCACGTCTCTTGACAAACAAAGTGGTGGTTCCGCTTAGCCAAGCCAGAAGGACTCTGTCTTAGTTTAAAAGCGAAACGACGCAAATCATTCAGTTTTACTATGTTTTGAACTATTCGACGACTGGTTTCATTTCTTCATCATTGAGCTTACAATTCTCTATCATAGAAAATACTGGTGCTACACCTTGATGCTACCAGTTTCAAACATTAAGGAAAGGACTGTGTTTAATAAACACTCTATTTATCTAATGCAAAATGGTACAATTCTTAGATTTAATGCACCCTTTAAAACAAGGTACAATCTCTGACACGAGTGAAGATTATACGTCCCAATCTCTCTTCGGTACGATCATGTGAATATTTTTCCAGCAAAGTACAATAGATTCTAGATCCAGTTGCAGAACAGAAGTCAGAATCACCGTGAACATGAGTTGCGTTGTCTCGCCTCGCTAGGAATGATTCAACGATTATCATAACAAGACTGGCCAGGTGAGGGGATCTGCATGTACAGGTACAAAACTACATGTTTGCCTTGTGTATGATTTATGCAAGAGCATTGTACAGGCTATTCTCAAATACACACGAGTGTTTCTATGCTACTCAGATTCCGTGGTCGCATTCGCATTTGTACAGACACGGATGCTCGTATAATGCTGTGTGTGTTCGTTTAAACAAGCAATCAGAGGTGCAAGAATGTCGGAAACTGGCATCGATGATGCATTCGCTGTGTGTGTATGTATGTATGTCGGTTGGCTGTGTGAGAGTATAGTGAACGGTCTCAACTCAACATAATCTTGTCAAGGGAATGGATACTTCTTACTTGAAATCACACAAATCCAGAAACAAGAAAATCGACGGTCTTTTAAAAAAAGGACGCAGGGTGTCTCTTAATTGACGTCTGAAAAATAATGACTCCATAAAAACTCGATAAAAAAGAAATGTGAGCCTTAATTTCAAATGTTTGTTCAACTGTAAAATTCTTTGGTAAGGATATTTGCCTCTCAGAAAATTAAATTTCAGTGTCAAATGTTTCTCGATGCAAAATTTAATTTTCCCAAAAGCAAAATTTCTTCTAAATTTCTCACATGGAATTTTTTCCATTAGTTCTCTCACGTGCAGTCATCGGGTCTTTCTGTTTTAATAGACACCCTGCAAGATTAATTTCGACAGACTTTGCGTCAACGGTGGATATACGAGATACAGATTACCCTCTAATAATCGGATGAAAAGAAAGATACAGAAAGAAAATAGGCGGCGAGCGATGGGCTCGCTCGTCCATGGCAAAATAAAATACACTCACAGATATTGTCTCTGCTATTGTTGTCCAAATCGCTAGTCTGTGTGTGACTCTCCTCGTGCATACGCAGTTCTGCATCGACCGTCAGCGCAGCACAAGGCATAAAAATGACTCGATTACGTCTTTGACACGGTGTGATCCACATGCGCACAACGTAAGTTGCAAAGGAAATTTGAGTCGTTTTTTTATTTGTATTATCTTTTTGTTTTCTTTTGTATTGTTAGACAGAAAGCAGCCAGGTCCTTTCAGAGCAGCACAATTAAATAGAAAAATAAAAGAAACGAAATTCCTAGTATATCTGTGAGCCACAAAACTTGTCCCTCCGTTTTTTTTTCTCTCGTTTTCGGTCGCTTTAATCGGTCGTGTAGAAAATTGTTTCATTGCATTGGCTTCAAGTCTTGTGTTTCTCAGACATACTGTACACAACCTGTCTGCAACATAAAATATGTATATATTTTACAGAATAATATATAATGGTTGGTATCATAGCGATAGATTGATAAAACAGTTTGCGTAACTACGTTCTCTTAGATTATCGAATTACATAATAACGACGATCGAAACGAAAACATTTATCGGAACGAACGAGAGTCGAAGTCATCGGTGCGCAATTTTCCAATGAAACTTTCAATGTACAACTGTGCATCGAGGCGAGCCGCAGAAGAACCGTTTTGCAATGTGTATAGTTGACGGATTAGATTACGCTTTACGGGATCTCTAGAAAATCTGCTATTCATTAATGAGAAATTACGAAAAATGTCGTGGGATTTTACTTTGGAAAATTGCACAGAAATTTGCATGTTCAAACATGGTTGTATCATGTTATTATACACATATAAAACGATATTGATAATATCCACTAGATGATACACATTGTAAATATTTAAAAATGAAGAAGAAGAAGAGCAACGAGAATCGTTTGTGTCAGTATAAAAAGCTAGGAAAAGTCTCAGTAGAAAAAGAAACAACGTCAAGCATCTGTTGCACGAAGAATCACGAAATGCTCTTGCAACGTGTTGAACCATATTTGAAAAAGATCTTAATACATTTTCACACGAGAATTGGATTATCTTTTTGTCGGGCTTCTCGTATTTTTCTTTTTTTTTATAAAGAAGGATAAAACAAGGGGAGAACGTCATTTCTCGATATTAACAAGGTACGCTAAATAAAAAAATTCGTATAATAAACGCAACGGCAAGACGCAATTAAAAATGTTTGTGACGAAGTTCGTTGAAATTAAATAAGCTTATGTGAGATGCAGAAGATATTCGATAATTATAGATAAGATGACAATGAATGAACCTAAATGATAAGAATTGCATACACCTGGGAAAGCGTCTATATAAATTACGTGTGTCGCAAGTATTCATTTCTTTCTTTGTTTCAGTACTTTCTCTAACACTCATAAGATGGCACATTTAATATGAGCATAATTTGTTTCTATTTACATATTGTCGAACCTGTGATTCAGTACCACATAACATAATTGTAAACAATTTCTCTCGTCCAAATTATAACATGAAACGGTAGGAATACAATTTAAAAAAGGGTCCTTCACGCATGGACTATATCGTCAGTTTAAATAATTCACCGATAATTGCTCAATCCACAATAGTTAATGTGTAGCATATTCTTCTTCGCTTTGTACATACATAATGCTTTGATTTTTTTCTGCGCTCGTTGACAGCGGCTCATCATTAAAAAAAAAAAAGGAAGTGAAACGCGTTCCATGAAGCAATGATCAGTGAATCATTTAACATTTTTTTTTGTGTAAACAATATCCTCTCGATTTTAAAGAAATAGCTGCCCCATTGGCGAAGACAATCCTAGAACGCAAGCAATGGAAAAATATTAATAAAAATACGTACCTTTTGTTCAATCATTTCTTAATAAAATAATTATAATTTACATGCATTATGTATATATGTATATATTTATATTTATATATATATGTATATATATATTCGGCAAATTATACGCGATACTTAAAAAAGATTCATCGACGTAATCCGTGTTATTTACATGACCATGCTTGTGCTCTACTTTCATTGTGCGTTCGTGCTTTACATCAACAATTACAACCACAATAATATATATGTATAATGAAGCGTGCATTGTAGTGTATTTATAATAATAATAAACCATTATACGGAATTGAATACTGATCTATTTTTCATTTTTTTTTTTTAAATCGTTCATAATTTTTACTAATTCGATTATTGCTGTACTAGACTTCAACCACAGCAATTGCATATCTCATGCAAAAGAAGAGATTTACTCGATTTCACAGCAATTGTGCAATTAAACGATCTATGGCGTTCGATTTTGTTCAAACATTCGGCTTTGCATAGAAGTACAGTTATAAATATGGGTTTCGTTACGAAATGCTGTGCTCCATAAACAAGGAGCGCGCGACTGGAAATAATTTTGTCAAATTTATACTTGTGAAACAATAATAGATCAAACCGGGATGGAAGAGAACAGCTACAGAGAAATCTAATGAAAAATCTAGGATAGTTGAAACTGAAATACTGTCATTAGTACGACATAAAAAATGCCTGTTTTACTCTTTGTTGAATACTCAAACGTTACGATCTGATGAAACTTCTCTTAACTGTGATTAGCATTTATGGGTTCACGTATTACATGCAACATCTGAACGAATATAAAGAACGAACTTTTAAGAATATCGATTACTGTAAGAATACATAGTATAAGATGGAATGCAGAGTTGAGACGACACGTAGAAACAAACTGTTAATAGACTTCAAGTACGAATTACATAAACCTGAAAGGTAAATCGAGTAGGGCAGCGAATAAATACTTTGAAATATTGTCTACAGTAAACAGAGAACATGCACTAACGAAACACAATAATTTTTTCTGTTGGTGTTACTGGAAAAAGAGAATAGATGAAGGTATTGTTTACCCCCGGACATTGGAGTTTTTAAAATTTTTTTCTACTAACAAAAAATACATTTTAAGGTGGCAAATATTGTTATGGGAAAGTTGATTTTTTAAGCTTTTATTATCAAGAATTTCAAAGTCAATAGAGGTCTCTTTAAATAATACTATTAACAAAAATTTTTTTAAATTTGCTCCAAAACTGTAGAATTGATGTTCAACTGAACAAAAAGGGATGCAGAAAGTATTACGAATTATTTTTCATATCTATATTAAAAGCAACTACGTATACAATATCTAATAAACGCTAGTGACCTCGAAGTTTCAGAAACAATCTTGAGAATTCCCTCCCTATTACAGTATTTGTTCCCTCAAAATAAAGTTACGAATAACAATAATATAACTAACATAAACGATTATCAACCCAACTTAATTAAGCCTTAAATTAACAAATTGTATCGAATATCGTTGTCCAAGGACCAAGAGTAACGATTGTATATAAAAATTTCTCATTGAACGTTTTCAAAGTATTCATTCAAGTTCGATTGTGTATCTTGGCTCCAAATTTATAACTCATCTATTTACAACACCGACATCTACATAACATCAACAAAGAATTCACAAGGATTTCCCATCGCAATGCGAAATGACTGTCTACTACCAGATAAGTCTTGCTGGTTCTGTTGATTCCCTGAACCAGTTCCTGTCTGCACAGACTGTTCAGAACCACTGGAACGACTGCGACTATCATTTGATCGTTTCCCATTCGAACCGTTTCCATTGCCAGAATTCTTACTCGGCATAGTTGGCACCGATGGGATATGCAATTCGGATTCGGATGCCGAAGAGCAAGACTTTAAGTCGTGGATTGGTTCTTTGCAAATGTGTTCGCTACCTGCGCTACTACCTCCTGTTGAAACACATTGTTTTGAACATTCATCCTGTGCTCTTAAAGTATCAGGCTTGGGCAAATTTTCTTTAAAATAGAGATTAAACGTAATAATATGAAGATTCAGTCGAAATATGAGATAACACTTCCGAAAGTGATCATTTCTAAAATATTTTACAATGCCCATGCCTGTAAGATATTAATTTAAGTCTCACCTGAGCCACTGTGAACACTTTCTTCTCGATGATAACCATACACAGTTGGTTCATTAGTGAAATTAAATGGCATTGGACTATAACCAGTTGCAGAATGAGGTGCATATGTTCCTGAATAAGGCATGTCCCAGGCATTTGGTGGAGGTAATGGTCCAACAGTATCGCAGTCTAATTTCATGCTGCTCATGGCTGAACACAAGTCGCCGAATATGTAATAACATTGTTCAGAGAATGTTATCTTGTTCACTGTATGCCTAATAAAGCCAGCTTTCAGCATTAGAGATGCGTATTTTCTGGCATCGCGACGATCAATGAAACCTTCCACGTGGGTGTTAAGCCAGTCCACCACGTCTGCGCCAATAAATGCATTTGGTATTGTTATTTTAAGCCACATACGTTCACGAATTTCTAACCCTGAGTCAGGTCGAGCCATTGCTCTTACTACTGTTGGCATATCAGTATTGACTGTAAGGTGAAGCTCTTCTAGTGGTCCTAAGAAAATGTTATTATTTACTTTCCCATTGTATCAACAACATTCTTTCAGATCTGCATTATTGCTTGCATAAAAAGAATAATTACTTTCTGTGTCTGGTAGAGTACTTGCAAGACTGCTTGATGTTGATGTCAAAGTTGTAGCACTTGGAGGACGCGGAGGAAAACCTTCACCCCTGATGGCAGCTGTGTGAGCCACCCAAGCACCAGGATCTATAGGTCGTACAGGCTCTGTGCGTGGTATTGTGAAGTATCCTTTTGGATTAGGATCCCAACACTTAGCTACTACTAGTTTGATTGGTCTGAAAGATTCACAGACCATGTTACATTACCTGATTTCTATGAAATTCAAGGCATTGTTAATGCACACATACCCTGGTTTTTGAACCACTTCGCGCAGTACTCTAACTGCTTCGTCGTTAGACATATTTTCGAAGTTAATATCGTTTACTTGAAGAATCATGTCTCCAGGTTCTATTCGACCATCTAAAGCAACAGCTCCCCTGTGCATATCAAAATTTACATGTTAAGGAAATTACTTGTACATGTAATGGTAACATCTTCGTTGTTCACTCTGTACTAGTAATTTATTATACAGAGTCCCTTTTGCAATTTTGTAGTGTAAGTACGAATAAATGAAAACATACCCTTTCATTATGGAACCAACATAGATACCCCCATCACCACCCTTGTTACTTTGACCAACAATACTAATCCCAAGGAAGTTTACAGTATCCATATTTAATGAAACCGTTATAATATTTAAGGACATTGTGCTGTCTGTGATACTGCTAAACGATGATGTTCTCGACATAGGCAGTAATCTGTGACGCCGTCTTCTTTGTGGTCTACGTCGATCTAACATTGAAATGCAAAAATTAATTCTAGTGCCCGTTTCTCGACGCTTCGAATAATAGAAAAAATTTTTGTGCTTCAGTATAGATTTACCTAAGGTAGCTCTGTCGACTGTACTACTCATATTAGTGTGTCTGCCTGTGGTCGATGTTATACGGCTACTTGCATCGTCATCTGACTCTAAAAATGTGGTTGTCTCTAAATCTGAACTTAAAATAGAAGCAGTCTCATAACCATGGCCTGATCTGTGTTTTGAATGACCATTTATACGAAGTCCTGGGTTAGTAAACAAATGAGAATAATGTTTAGATAACAATGATTTTTTATGATGATCATTTCAAACAAAAGTATTATAGAAGAGAGTGTAATAGCAATAAGTAAAGTCTTTGCTAATTAAAGATAGATTAATAGGGATAACATACCATTGTACTTGTTTTTGTATTTGTCAATGTACTTGTCTGAATGATGTCTTGAACTTTTATGTAAATGATGCCCCTGCCGACTACTTATAATACTTTCAGTTTCAGTTAGAGTGTCGTCGTGAGAAAGTGGCGGTGGGCCACGATTTGTATGACCAGGTGTCACATGATCAACACGATCATGCTTTGCCTCGCTGTGTGCCACTGAATCTGTGCACTGTGATGCACCATCTGAGACATTGCTGCCCTCGGCAGACACCAACTGATGGTAAATATATTTGTTTATTTTAGTTAGAATTTACCCAGTTCAGGAATAATTAACTCTTTGACTATTGCACATTCTAACTTATAGCCATCAATTAATTCAAGGCTACTACAAGATCCTAGTATACTAGGTCAATGAATATATAAAATATAAGGCTATATAATAGCCTATATAATAGCTAGGTCAATGAATTGACCTAGCATCAGTTACAACATTATGAAAGTTGAAAATATACACTGTAATTTAAGCTTTATTAAAAAGAATTAATGATAAAAAAGTCAATGAAACAATTGAAATTCAATGATTATAAATTTTAATCATTGATTATCAATTGCTGATTGAAAATATGAATCATTATAAATTAGTCTTTTATTTTTAATTTAAATTTATTTTCATAATGTTTAAATTCCAATAATAAAGCTTTTATGTGGGTGTATAAATACACCACATACTGTCAAAGAGTTAGTGCTATCTTAAAAGTAATTAAAATAATATTTTTACACTCTACTTA